GGTAGGTAATGATATATAATAATAGTAATAAAAGGATATAAAAACACAATTTATGTTTTTATATGGAATTAAAAAGTTGTGTCCAAAAAAATATATGTAATGATGTAATGATTGTTGGATGTGCAAAGAGTAACTAAAAATTAAATAAATAATATAATGGGAGAATATGAAAGAAAAGAATAATAACAAATAAATTATAAATATTTGACTACACTTTTCATGGCACGCTAATGTGTGATGTCTCCGCTCCAACATTGACTTCTCTTTTTTATAATATTTGTTTTCATTTAGAGTAAAATGATAACAATCTAACCTTTCCATATTTATGTATACGTTATAATGACCAAGAAATGCAATTGCCCTTCACACGATTTTATGCATTGTTTCTATTCAAATTCTTTTTTTTTTTTTTTTTGATGAATAAAAAGCCAATTAATTTGATACACTAAACCCATGCCACATGCTTCAAGCCCAACGATGACTTCCCTTTCCCTTTTTGTTTTCATTCCTTTTCATCAAGTATTAGAACAATTAATGTTTCACTTTTTTCTCTATACTTTTTACATATTAATTATGGTTTTATACAAAATTTTCTTCTATACACTTTTCACACGTTAATATATAATTCAATATTCCAATAACCATTAACTTATTTCATGTCACAAAATGTTCTTCTCTACACTTTTCACACGTTAATATATAGTCCAATATTCCAAAAAACCTTGACTTATTCCACACGTTGATATACTAAACCCACACGACATGCTTCTAGTCCAACGATGACTTCCCCTTTCCCCTCTTGCTTTCATTCCTTTTCATCAGGTATTAGAGCAGTTAATTTTTCACTTTTTTCTCTACACTTTTTATACGTTAATTATGGTTTTACACAATTTTCTTCTTTACACTTTCCACACGTTAATATATAGTCCAATATTCCAGAAAACCTTAACTTATTCCATGTCTTCTAGTTGAAGAATTCTTCATTACAATAATAGAATACTACATCAATAGCATTCTAACCAATAAAATGTTTATAAATCATAAGATTCTTTTTCCATCACATTCATTACAGATTTCTCTGCTAGTTCTTGTTAATTATGATTTCCACAAAAGACTAGATGAGACCACTACTGAATTTTCTTCTGCATTAACAGTTTGTCATTGAACGCTTTGTTATTGAACTGAATTTGATTCTGTATTAACGGTTTATCATTGAACGTTTTGTTATGTTAAACTGTTTATTTGGCATGCTTAAATTTTACCCAAGGGGCCGTTCAAAAAAAAAAAAATTTTACCCAAGGGCTATCCATATATTTACTTACTGAGATATTTTATCTCACCTAGTTTTCCTTGCCCACCATTTCAAGAAGCGAAGTCAAGGACGGGAAAAAATGAGGGGAGTGACGAGTGAGAAGATTAGCCATCTTGTAAATTGAACATAGATTTAGATATAAATCATGATCTTGTAAGTTAGACTGTATTTGGAGATTTTATGATATCAAAGAAAATTTTAAAATATTATCTTAAGATTTTGTGGTATCAGATTGTGGTATGATACGTTCCGACCCTTGTGCATTTGTGGGACCTTCTCACGAGTGCATGGCATTTGTTACGCCTCGGATTTGGGTTCTGGAGCGTGACATATTTTCTTTATCATTTTATAAAAAAATAATGTTGACACGATTAAACTTAATTCTATAGTTTAATAAACGGTAAAATGATTTGCAGTCATTCGTGTCAATTTTTAGATAGAATGAATTATTGAAACGTTTCAAGTTAAGGCCCTTGTCCCAAGTTTGCTTTTCTTGTCTTCAACTTTTCCTTGTTTCCAAAAAATTATAAAACCTATCAGCAGAAGGTATTTTCTTGGCACAAGCAAAAAGTATACAATTGACTGGAAACAAAAATCCCCAAAATAGGCTTCATTTCGTTCTTTCTCTTTTTTTGTTTTTTTTTTTTTGGTACTAATCTCTCAGTATTTGGTAATTACATTGACTCTCGACAAATCTGAAATCGAATCACATCGGACTTTATTAGGGAAGAAACTCTCCTAACATCTATTTCTTTATTCACAAAACTCGAATTCGAAACCTTACTTAAAAAGAACAGAATTCCTTTCACTCAAATCAACAGAATTGTTAGTTCTTTCTTTCTCTTATTAAAAACTCAAAAACATTACCAATCATTTTGAATACCAAATTCAAAATTCAAATAAATTCAAATTCCCAGATGAGAAAAAGCAAAAAAGGAAAGGCCCAAAGAAATACCTCTGCTCATAAGATTATCTTTTATCAGCAAATGATCCAAGAAAAAGTGCCAACCAAGAAAGCTTACCTTTGATGGGGTGAACCTATTCCACAACATTTTGTTTTTTGGTCGTTCTTCCTCTATGATTCCAAGCGGAGATCTCAAAAGGAAATTGAAAAATATTTACTCTTTATAAAACCAAATATAAATCTTTATAATAATAATAATTACCATTATTACCATTTTAAATAGTTATAAATTACCATTTTACAATTACCATTATTACCATTGTAGTTATAAATTCATATTATTACCATTTTATAATTAGTTTCAGTTTCCAGATGAACTTATATGCACTTTTTTTTTTTTCATATTATTAACATTTACTCCATATATAAGATACAGAAATTCATTTACAAATATCGGCAAAAAGTTGAATTTTTTCTACGGAGTATAAAAACTAAAAAGGGGAGAGAATGGCAAAATAAAGGCAGAGACCGGAAGCGAGGAATATTGAGAGGTGGGACCTAAGACTAAGAGTAGTCCGCATTCATCGGGCCGCGTATCACGCCGTGCATTAGCTGTACGTTATAGCGGACTCCACCGCCGTCATCGGTCAATATACTAAAGTCAATGTTCAAATATGGGAAACTCGGGAAGGTTTCAACTTTCTACTTTTCGTTTTCAGATTTAAACCGAATCCATATTTCTTAACGGTTTTTATAAAAGCACATATTAACTACTTGTAATAAATTTATTTTTATGTATAAAATGCATAAATGTTAATTTTAGCTTAATTAATTAGTTAATTAAATATATCATTTTCAGTAATTGATTTTTTATAAAAACGTGTAAATTCATATTATTACCATTTTGAGTAATTAATTTTAGCTTAATTACAATGATAATAATGGTAATAATATTATTACCATTTTTATGATAAACAAGCATATCTCAATCAGTAAGACAGTAGTCCATTTAATTAAATTTGGCAGGGAAAACTTCTTAACTACTGCAATTTAAAGGTCTACAGAATATTGGTTAAATTTGCATTCAATTTTTAGTATAAATTGAAAATATTTTAATATAAATTTAAAGGTCTACAGAAGTAATACAAGTTGTACCACTTGTATTTTGACTAAAAATATTTTTAATATAAATAATGGAAGAAACAAAAAAATTAGGATGAAACAAAGATATAATAATAAATAGAGATGCAATTTTAATAATCTTTCATTTATAAATTACATATTTAAATAAACCAATTAAGAACTTAAGTGTTTTATAATTATCAAAATCATAGTTACAATAACAGCCAAACATTCGATCAAAATAATCAATGAAACCCCTCAAGCTGAGATACACAATTGTTGCCTACAAACATTCTGCATGCTGCACTTGATGTATGCCAATAGCTCTCACACGCAAGGTACTGAAATACGATGTACCTTCAATTGCTGCAACATAATAATACTCTTGATCCACCGCAAAATGTTTAATTAATTTAATATTTATTAGGCACAACTCTTGGTTAGAGTGTGATGAATCCCAAATAAACTACATTAAATTATAATTTAATAAATAAAGACATGATTTTTGAAACCAAATTTATTGAATAATAGGGTCATAAAATACAAGATCAAAAATCCTGACACTAAGTGACTTAATAACTACTCTCTTTTGATTAGTTGTTAAGAGGACAACTATATCTTAAATTCGATATCCAAATCTTCCCCTATCCCCAAAATTCCCTTTATTGGAAAAAAAAAAACAATAACAAAAATACAAGATCAAAAAGGGTTTCAATTTTGTTGACGACCACTTAAGATTTTCAAAATAAATGAAAAATTAAGTGTGAAATATATAAGAAAAAGGGAATCGCCACTCGTCCAAATTATAAGGTGGGACAAGTCACCTAAAACGAGTCTGCATAGAGATCGGGGTTCGAGAGTTCGGTTAGGAGTGAGGAAGGGCATACGCGCACCTCACAATCCTCCGTTTAAACACGGTTGTATACTTTAAAATTGGGGTTTTAATTCAACTTATTTATTATATTTATGTTTGAGTCTTAATAAGTAAGCTTAAAAAATACATGGACTGAATTGTGACAACTTTTAAACTTTTGGATTAAAATGGACAAAATCAAGACAAGCACGCACAATAACATAAACAAGAAGTTAAGGGACTAACTTGATTAAACTCGAAAGATAAAAGACCGATTTGATTAAATTCAAAACATAAAGGACTGGTTTGAACAGATTTAAAACCTAAGACTAAATTGCTTAATCGTAAAACCCTTGGGTGAAGCTGAAATGAAAAAAGATAATTTTTGACTTTTAGCAAGATTAAAGGAAATTAAGGATTTAAATTAATTAAATAAGATAATTGATTTAATTAAATGATTAATTTATCATTAATTAAAATTAATTAAAATTAATTAATCATATTTATGAATCTTTT